ATCAATAGATGATACTGGAGATCTGTGGAGGTGCGACTGCACCCTGCGTGACGGGAGATGTCTCCCGTCTCTTGATATTGATTGATGAAGATTAAGCCACCCAAGAGGTGGCACGGGCATGAATAGCCCGTAAGTGGTGGTCCTTTCGAGCCATTACCAGTATCAAAAGATGATACTGGAGATCTATGGAGGCGCAACTGCACCCTGCGTGACGGGAGATGTCTCCCGGACAAAGTGGTGATCAAATGGTGCTCTTGATATTCATCATATCGCTTGCATATATGGTGGTTACACCTCAGCTCCCTCCAACAAGGTGAGACGAGTATTACCTGTAATTGGGGAAAGGATTGTAGCTTCTGTAATTAGCGTTAATTAGTTATGCTATTAAGATAATGAGATAATGGAGCGAGTATAAGATTAACTCGCTACAGGGGTGAGCGGGGTGGCCTGGTGGTGGTGTTGAGAAAAGATGCTCGCTCTGAGGGTTCTGTGACCTCTTCCTCGTTCCCCGTTTCCTCGGCAGGGGTCTTGCCGCCTCTTCCGTCTCCAGCCGTCTCTTCCGTGTCTCCTGCGGTCTCAGTGGAGGTGCTACCGTCTCGTCGACCGTCCCCTGCTCCTGTGCGTACGACGGCCAGGCAGTCTCAGCGACCCTCGTCCGCTTCTTCGGAGTCGTCTGCTTCCTCGCAGGGCGTGGTTGGCGCTCCCCGGCCTCGTTATGCGACTTGTGTCAGTGACCTTAAGCGTTGGCCTGATCTGGATGTTCCGGAGTTTATGATACCTCCTCGGCAGCGGGGGATTCGTAACCCTTCCGACCTTGAGGATTTGATTTGGGAGGCTTATAAGAAGTATCCTTACGATCTTTTCCCTGAAAAGCACACTTTTGCCTCTTGAGGCCTGTGTTCCTCGCATATGATTTCTTTATATTTTGTGTATCCTTTTATGTGCGTGGCTGTGGGGTGCGGGTGGGGCGTGTGAGTGTGTGGATGGGGTAGGTTATGCTTCCTGCGTACTCCGGTTTATGTTTTTTTTTTTTGTATGGCTTGTGTGTGGGTGTGCGGTTCCTGTGCGTTGGTGTGTCCGGTTGTGGATGTCGTGTGCGCTTGTTTGTCATATTACGTGCCCTTCAGGCTGTTGGCGTGTTCCGGCCACAGTTTATGCTCTTGTTATGTTTTGCCTTTATGTTTCGCCTCCAGTTTGTTATGGGAGGTCTGTTTCCTTTATTGTTATTATTTTTCTTATTATATGTTTATCGTTTTGTGCTGGTGCCTCTCCGTCTGTGTTTGAGGTGTTGAAATTGAAATAAGTTTATCGAGGTAAAATACCCACAAAGGGATGAGGTAGCTCAAGCTATTCTCACCCCTTTGGAGGGGTGAGAATAGCTTGCCTGGGCCTGGTGGAGAGGGGCAAGGCCTGGTGGAGGGGGGCAAGGCCTGGTGGAGAGGGGGGGGGGCAAGGCCTGGTGGAGGGGGGGGGGCAAGGCCTGGTGGAGGGAGGGGGGCAAGGCCTGGTGGAGAGGGAGGGGGGCAAGGCCTGGCGGAGAGGGAGGGGGGCAAGGCCTGGCGGAGAGGGAGGGGGGCAAGGCCTGGCGGAGAGGGAGGGGGGCAAGGCCTGGCGGAGAGGGAGGGGGGCAAGGCCTGGCGGAGAGGGAGGGGGGCAAGGCCTGGCGGAGAGGGAGGGGGGCAAGACCTGGTGGAGGGGGCAAGGCCTGGCGGAGAGGGAGGTGGCTAATAATACTCCAGTAGAGGGAGGGAGGTGCGGGTTGACGCCATGAGGCTACTCTGGTGGTGCTAGGCTACCTCCTCTCCTCCATTGGACCAGAATGTTCACTTATTAATCCGGAGAATCTTATTAAACTAAACTGTACTAGAGAAATGGTCAAGTTAAATACTGTAGGTAAACGTGCCAGCATGTGATTAAGTTTTTTTTTTTTATACGTAATAATACATTACTGTGCCTATTCATTAATGGGTTTGTAAGAATGTAAAAATACCAATACTTTAATCTCACAAACCTGTTGTATCTTCTTGTAAATAAATTATTATTATTATTGTGTCCCAGTGGTTCAGTCGGGGTCGTTCTCGAGATTTCCGGGTTCGAATCCCGGGCGGGACTTAAATAGTTGGGCACATTTCCTTTCACCTAATGTACCTGTTCACTTAGCAGTAAGTAGGTACCGAGGAGTTAGTTAACTTGTGTGATCCTCGCCCAGGATATTTCACCCTGGGCGAGGTCAGTAATTCGACCTTGTGGGATATATATGGGACTTTGCTATAAGCCTAATATGTACTGGATGTATATATATATTGGCTACCTGTCACCCGACACAATTAAATATTATTATTATTATTATAATCATTTGTCTATAAATTTGTAAGTACGTCGATCATGTCAAGTCTCCAATTGATCATAAATATTGTAAAAGTTGTCAATGGTTTTGGCACTTACTGCTTTCTGATGAAGATTATTCCATCCATGTGAGTAATTACCTAAGTGTTACCGTCTTCCCAGTACTCTTTTTCGTATAACGCTTTGAAACTACTGACTGTTTTGGCCTCCACCACCACCTCACTTAGTTGTGCTTGCCGGGTCGTGCATCTGCTCCAGTCACGCCTTTTGACTATCATGCAGTGTCTCGTTTCCCCTCATTTTATCATATTATATTTACATTTATAGCCGTGTATCAAATTAGCTTCAAAAACTTCCTCATCTAGTCCATTCCACTTATTTACTACTCTAAGACAGAAAAAGTTCTTATAAACATCTGCTTCCAGTTTCCAATTATATCCTTTCGTTTTATCGTTTCTTAATTTGAGCATTGCTTCTATATCTAAACTGTAAATTCCCCTAAGTATCTTGTATGCTGTAATCACGTCTGCTCTACTCCTCTCCAGTGTAGCGAGGTCCAGTTCCCTCAGCCTTTCTTCATAACTCAGGAACGAGACTTGTTGCATATTTTTAGACCTTTTCAAATTATTTTGTTTCTTTAGGTAGGGGTTTTATGCTGAGAGAGCATACTCAATAAGGCCAGTCTAGTTCATTCATTATGCACCCCATACCCATCCTTTGGCAGTAGTAGAAAGGGTTATAGAGGCACATAATGGGTTAAAGAACTGAACCCCAAAATTCATTTACCCAAGAGAGGTAAATGAATTTTGGGAGGTAAATAAATTCGAGAGCATGAATATATAATTCTCAAGGCCCGTTTCTAGATTCCTGTGTTTAGATTTAATTAATGTTTTTACATTACGGTACTGTACCTGCTTGATGGGGTTCTGAGAGTTCTACTCTCTAAGCTTGGCCCGAGGGCAGGCTTAACTTGCGAGAGCTTGGTCCAACAGGCTGTTGCTTGGAGCGGCCCACATATCCTCCACAGCCTAGTTGGTCTGGCACGTCTTGAAGAAAACTATCTAGTTTTCTCTTGAAGATGTCCATGGTTGTTCTGGCAATATTTCTTATACTGTACCTGTACTGTACTTGCTAGGAGTATGTTGAACAACCATGGACCTCTGACATTTGTAGTGTTCTCTGATTGTGCCTATGGCACCCCTACTCTTCCCTGGTTCTATTCTGCATTTTCTTCCATTTTGTTCACTCCAGTATGTTGTTATTTTATTGTGTAGATTTGGGACCTGACCCTCCAGTATTTTCTACGTGTATATTATAGTACAAGCCTACTAACTTTTTGTTAATGTGAAAATTCTTCAAAAATAAGTGCTACACCTGGCAGCAAATGTACAATAGGATCCAGTATCTAATTGCTTGACGTGTGGCAAATGATACAGAACTTAAAAAGAATGTTAGACACCGTACATGGGCAGTGTTGTTAAACGTAAGTACAGGGGTACCTCGGTTTAAGAGTTTAATCCGTTCCTGGAGACGGCTTGTAACCTGAAAACTCGTAAACCGAAGCTAATTTCCCCATAAGAAATACTCTAATGGGAAATGAATTAATCTGTTCCTGACTACCCAAAAACCTCACTTCAAACTAAATTTTATACCTAATTCATCAAAATCTACACTACAAAACTACGTTCACGTTATTACTTACCCTTGGTGATGACTGCTGTTGGCGTATGGAAGATGGTGAGGAGGAGAGGTTACTGTTTGGAAGGGGAATCTCCTTTATAAAATCAGGCAGTGAGGACTTCTCTGGTGTGCACACTCTGGCACGTTTTGCCTGCATACCACTAGGACCTGCTTGTGGCTCACTGCTTGCTTGTCTTACTAAGAATCTGTCTAAAGACACTTGTTTTTCCCTACAATTTAACACTTGTCTGTTGTAAGACATCACATTGTCATTTAAAAGGTCAATGCAATGGCCTGCTACAGCATTTATCTGGGTGAGGTTTTTCATCAAAACTTTGCAGTTCTTCCCATACTTCACACATTTTATTAATGAGGAAGGGACATCCTCTACCCAACTATTTTCTTAGGTTGAACCTTACCACTGACTTTCTTGGGACCCATTGCGAGATATATAATAACAACTTTTATGTTCAAATGGTCAAATATCCAACAAAACACTGTAAATCCTGGGGAAGAATTGAGGCGGGATAGTCACTGGGCGTGAGGCACTGGTAAACTGAGCGGCGATTGCCGTGCCACCATGCGCTAGTCGGCCCGTACGCGTATCAACACCCTTGTATCCTGAGGCAACCCTTGTATCCTGAGGCAACCCTCGTATCCTGAGGCAACCCTCGTATCCTGATACAAATTTTCCGAGCAAATCCTGCTCGTAACCCGAAAAACTTGTAATCAGGGGCGCTTGTAAGCCGAGGTACCACTGTAGTGAGGAATTCAGCTGTGTAAGAACTGTTGCTAAATCAAATACAAGAGAATGTTAGACATGTTGCAGTGTAATTTGACATGTAATTTAGCAAAATTTATTTCATGTGAAAGTCTAAAGACGGAATTAATGATGTTAAATTAAAAAAAGTGAAAGTTAAATGTACATAAAATTATGGCAAGTCTAAGGCAGAAGGATAATGAACAATTTGTGGTAAAAAAGTTGTAATAAACTTTATTGGTATAAACTCCTGATTGTACATGAAAAATTATGGACAATGGTACACTCTTGTTATCTATGACATGTTTTAAAAGTTCCTGTTAGATGGATCCTTGTATGAGAGACCAAGGTGCTTAAAAACCTCTGCTTCAGAGTCAGCAGGAATAAGTCTGTTGTGTTCTCTGCTCCAGAGCCCATGACTACTGAGCAACATATTCAAAGTTGTGTTGGCATGGTGTCGTAAGAGCCGCATCAAGAGCTTGCTGCCCGTCCATCCCAGCACAGCAAACGCCCACTGACTGCGTGGTACCATTACCAAATCTACTCTTACTGCAAGCCACGAACGTTTTTTTTCGCTCTCTTTCACTAGACTAGCTACATCTGAAAGAAATGGTAAAGAGTATTTCTTTATTAGCCCAAATGCAACACAGCCAACTCACTTCACAAAGAGTTATCTGGATTGGATTGAATTAAGTTACATAACATTACAACTTCCTTATGAGTTTTATGACAGGCTTTGATTACCATATGGTTCACTGGATTAACTGTAATGCAATTTGCAGGCTGATGACAAATTTGTGTTTTACTGTTCCTCCATTAAATTGTGTAATAACTTTAAACAATATTTTATATGGCTAGTTATAAAGTTCAACATAACATGTGACAACTGCATATCAATAAGTTAGCATTAGGACATAGTATAACGTTTGGTTATACCTTTTCTTGGCTCAGATACTAGAGTTGGTGTCCAGTTGTCAGAAAGAGGGCATCGAAATATGCAAAAACACTTTTCAAAATAATCCATGGTGTTCCCTTTACCAGAGTGCTTCTTGAAAATGTCCTGATGAACAAAAGGAAAACTAAATTATAAATCAGCAATCATTTATCTGCTTACAGTTTCAACTAATGAGATGCAAATGCTAAAAACACATTACTAGGCTTAAGTCTTCAAAAAATTACACCTAAAGAATTTGAGTTTTAGTTTGTTCAAATTCATATCCAAACAAAACAAAAGTACTTGTATGTATATACTGGTACTGTATTGTCCCTTTCCTTGCTATATTATCTTCCTATTAATATATTAAAGAATAAATTAAACTGCAGAAGGCCTATTGGCCCGTACAAAGCACCTCGTATTCATATTCACCCAAACTTATTCATATACAGTACCTATACTGTATATCTAACCTATACATGACACAATCCAGTGAACCCATGTCTATTACCTGATAATTTGCACTCTCAATTAACAACCTTGTTTTTAAACTAGCATTTACACAGGTCTTTCCTGCATCTAAACTTATCCAATTTACATCCCTTGTTTTGTGTTCTAGAAGCATATAACCCCAAACTGTACAGAACGCGTGTACTCACGCATGTTAATGGTTACAAACAGGTTTTATCCATTTTTTCAGAAAATACTTTTGGTAGGAGCCTGTAGCATTAAGAGAGACAATATGAGGTTCCTCATCTCGTCATAACATGAGGGAAAGTTGATTTACAGAATGTTGAAAATATTATTTACTGCATATTAAGCTGTGACTCAGAATATTAAACCAGCAAATTTTTGTATGCATAATAGTCTTCAATAAAGAAAATACTATACAGAATAAACCAATATTATTGTTATGAACAAATCCCATAATGTTTGCTATATAGTTTCCCAACCTGTTTGTGATGCAACCTTCAGTCACTTGTAAATAGTACATGTTATGTACTGCAAAAAGAAAAATATTACCACAGAGTATATGTTTCGAGATATCAGCCTTCAACACCACAAATGTGGGCAAGAATCCATATTATCAGGAGCTAGATGTTCCATAAGAGTACTGTATATGTAAAATGAGTTTGTCATTAAGAATTTACAAATGACAATTATGGCAAGACTGAATATGCTAGCCTGGCTGGGAAAAGCTTTGTCGTTGCTAATTTAGGGGTGATGACGATTTGAGAAAATCTTTCGGGTGATTGGGATGGTACACAGATCAAACGTAGCAAGAGGTACACTAACATAATTAAACCTTCATTATTATTGTATAAATTAATGCCTAAATGAGATTGAATATTCTATAACTATGTCAATTGATATTTTAGATGCACATTCCAACAAAAAGAACAACTGCATAAGTTACAATTTTGTGTTCATGTATTTAATATACTGAAATGTTACCTCACCAGCTGGAACAGTTACTTGCCAGACTGAAATGTAAACTACAAAATAATAAATTATAAAGCATGACAGCATACCTCTGTTCAAGTACTAAATTAATATTGCATAATTCCTTAAGAGCAAATAAATTTGCAATGAATGAATAATGAATTAAAAAGAGAATGGCAGTGCTTAGCAGGTGGGGGTCATTCTCTGGCCTTCTGGCATTGTGTAAGCATGTTAACAAAGCAAGAAGTGGTGACATTTATTCTTCCCCACCACCACCCACCTCCAAAAGATAAAAATAAGGCATCATCTCAACCTAGTTATATAAACTCCAAAATATTTTAATAGTATTTTAATATACAGACAGTACAGGTGAAGGTGTGTTATATGCAGTGACAAATGAGACAATTCACATGAACAATAGGGATGAACAATGAGGGACATCGTCAAGAGAAACCTAGATAGTTTTCCTCAAGAAGTGCCGGACGAACCGGGCTGTGGATATGTGAGCCTGTGGGCCATTCCAAGTAATAGCCTGTTGGATCAAGCTCTCACAAGTCAAGCCTGGCCCTGGGCCGGGCTTGGGGAGTAGAACAACTTCCAGAACCCCATCCAGGTACAATCCAGATACAATAGCCTTGTTGTTGCCAGCTCACTGATTGTGAACCTCAAGGATGGCCACTTGTATCCCAAGCAAAGTAAGGTTTAATCTAACATTTTACTGTCTGAAAGGTTTATGGTCATCAACGTAGGATTTTACTTGTTAAACGAACTGCATTGAACTAGTTAAGATATAGAAAACCACAAATACTAAGGTCAAGATAAAAATAACTGGTTAATGTTACTTGAAATAAAACATGTTAAGTTTCTCTGTACAATTTAATGGTCATTACATAATGTCATATATTACTAGACTCAACACTACTCTGCACAACACTATAAAGTTCTGCAGAGATTAAAATTAACATTTCCATTTACTGTAAAATGATCCCATTTTTTCTTCTTCTCTGATCTCCATTTACTTCTGGGAGGTTATAAGGGTCAATGTTCCCAATAAACAGTAAGTCTATCCGTCTAACAAGTTTGATATTGGCAAGTCTGACCAGAGCATAAGTATAAGCTTGGGGAAAGCAAGCGAGGAAAAGTAATTAAAAAGTCTTGAATGTTTGGTTCAAGTCCAATCATATAGTCCATTGTATTGAGGCCTCATACACTGACCTTTCATGGTAACTAAGGCCATCTATCTGATTGTCACTAAAGGCAACTATCTTATAGTCATTTTAAATAAGCAAGTAAGTAATTATCAAAAGAAGGCACCAAGCTGGAAAGATGTAGATTTATATAACTGAAAATATAAATTCAGTTTATTTTACCATACCTCTTCAATATAAGACGACTTCTCCACTTTTTCATGAAGAATATAACCCTTCTGCTTAAGGTGCTTCAACAGCCTGTAGAGAACATCCGTTGTCTCCCTCTCGTCACACTTAATCAGGAAGTCGACATCATGGCCACTTACTTTACCTCTTGTGAGTAAACAATAAATTCAATTCAATTTGATGTCTTACAATAAATATTTATAGAGGCTAATATTGCTTTATTCTGACTAGGAAAGGTTCGATAATCAGCAGGAAAAATTCGGAATAATCAGTTTTTAAAATCTCAGAAATTATATTTAAAGTTACAATTAATAACGAATCAATAAAGAAAAATGTTGAGAAAATAATTTACCTACGAAACCCTCCACAAATCTTCAAAGTACATTTAGTTGTAATGTTACATAGTTCCTTGTTCACTATATCCTTAATTCTCTCGGCCATTTCCTTGTCAACAGGAGTGTTTAAATCCGTATAGTAGGCTAAACCTGAAATGTAACAACACATTAAAACTGACTCATTGATTTTTTAATAATTTTGTCATTCTAATATAATTTGCAGGTTTATAATAACTGAAATGTCATCAGTTCTTCAATTGCAGGTGTGCAGGTTGGGTATCAACTCTTCACACAGGTTATTGTGACTCATCGTCCACAACAACAGGTATTAACCCCTGGCTCCTGTTGCCTACAATTAGTAAACACAAGAGTGGGCAGACAAATGGTAATACTTTGACCCAATCTTCATCTTAACGGAAAGACAACTGCAGGAATTGAAATGGCATGGGAATGGACAATTCCCACACTAAAAACCACACAAACAATAATGGGGTAACATAGGCAGCATAAGGAAAACCTGATAAAACATCAGAATGGCATTTAAAAACTAAATAAAGACTCTTACGAGGCAATCTAGTACAGCCTTGGTGAGGCCAATACTGAAATATGCAGCATCAGTATGGAATCCATTCCTAGTGATGCACAAAACTATACTGTTATTCTTTTGGCTCTCAAGTGGCTGGTTCTACTCTGGTTACCGACCCTTCTGTTACATTGCCCCAATTTAATTCCTTGCAGCGTATCCCTTTTTTCCCCAGACAAATTTTTCCTCTGGAGACTTTGGTTGTTGGATAAGGTGTTTTGAGTTATTTATCCTTTTCACTTTAGTGGTGACATGTTACTGGAGGAGTACACACTCAAGGCAGTGTTCCTGTTTGCCTTAGCAGCTGGGCATTATTTTAGTTAATCCCATGACTTTCATTAGAGGAGTCATTGGTCTTTGGCTCTGGGGAATCACTTTGAGGAGTGATCCCCAGGTTTTATAAGAATAAAACTTCAACTTTTCCTGACTGAGGCTTAGTTTGTCAGACAGGGTGTCCTCCATTCTCTTTGACCAGTGATGGCTTATGAGGACCTGGGGCCTCTGGAGATCCAATAGGATTCCTGCAGCTCGGTATTCACCCGCTCTCACTCATTCCCTCCTGAATGGTGTAGCCCTGGAATGACTGTTGCATGCCAGAGGTTCAGGCACCTGGTTTCTCACCTCCCTGGCTCCACTTATCATAAGTGCCCTATTTTTATTATCTGTACATAGTGTAAGCCGAGGTGCTACCTAAGGGGGAAGGGGGGAGTACTTAGAAGTAAAGCATTGAGCATAATGAAATACCCCTTTCAGGGGCTTTTGTATGAGGTGGCTTGTTCCCATGAACCTTTGGTATTTGGGCCGACCAACCGGTAGTGGTCGGAGTACTGTAGTTAGATTACTTTTTTTTTTAGAGATTAATATTTCAATAAATTTTTGAAGGAGGGATGAGTACTGGGTATATTGTTTTTCTTAGTTATTGTTAGTTTATATCAGTTGTGAATTGATCTTCAATTCTCATGAGCTCCCCCACCATGCAGAGCATGCAAGACTGTTGAAAAAGATCCTTGTACTCAAGTGTACCAAGACTGTCACTGGGAACCTGATGTGGACATTGTTACTGTCCACTGTATGCTCGAGACAGCTACCGAGATGCAATCCAGAAAGGGGCCTTTCATTCTCCTTAACCTCTGCACTGTGTAAAGTGTCTTTAGGCACTCTTGAGTTGTTATATTTTTTTTAATTAGGCTATATTTTAATGTTTTTCATTACTCTTTGTGTTTTAAAATGGAAATAGTTGAGTTTGGAAACATTTTGACATTAACTTTACCTGAATATTTATAAAAACAATAAAAATATATCCTTGGCAATTGCACTAAGAAGTTTTTATTGAAACCAGGTGTGCAGTGTAGTGGTTAATGTTTTAATTTTAGGATTTTTTTTTTTTAAAGAACATCAAATCAGTGCTGCATGGGGGGAATGCAACATGAGGTATGCCTATAATTTATTTCAACCAGAGACAACAGTACTATGATATTATTAAAGAAGTTTGGCAAGGATTCTCACCATATTTAATCCTTTCATCAGAAATTCTTAACTGGTCCCAAAGATGTAAAACATCTTCAACAGATCTGATGCTGTGGGTGCTATAAAATTGTTCAGCCAAGCTGGATCCAACACCATACACACCAGTCAATCCCTGATGAAGGTAAAGGTAAAAAAAAAAAAATAAATAAATAAATTACACATTTAAAAAAACAATCTTAGCTCCCAAAATAAGTTGTTTAATTCTTATTATAATCTCAGCTTATTACATAACATATTCAGCATCTGGGAAAGGGAAAACAAGCCATAGTACCAAGCAAGATTATGTAGGAAATGTGCAAGGAAAATGATGGTGTGAATTATGAGTGTGTGGATATCTGGAAAGATCACAATAAATGACATAATGGGAATTCAATGTTAACACTTTCGCCCGGGCATGACGCAGCATTGCGTCATCCACTTTAAATAATCGCCAAAAATCAGGTTTTTATCCGATTTTTTTGGGACCGATTTTAAAATGCGCGCCGATGTCTTCCCATTTTCTTTGTTGCGCCTCGTGGCCCACAGGCGGCTCGGCACACGCTGTCGGCCCATTGTTTTCGCTCCACTGTTGTGACCGGTGTCGCCTCCCCTCGCATCTCAAACGTGTGAACATTTCGGCTATTTTCCGTGGCTATATTTCTTACTGCGTCTTTAGAAACTATCTACACTTACTCCACGATGGATAGTGATCATGAACAAGGCCCTTCCAGGAAGAAAATTGCGAAAGAAAGGCGTGAAAAGGGCGGGAATTGGGAGTGTAGCTGAAAGGCGTCCGAGCGCTCACTCGCGGCTAACGCGTGGCCCGTCTTCAACTCGTCGGCGGTTGGAGCGTGACCAGGTTTTTTATTTTATATGCTAATGTTCCTCTAGAGAATTCTATTGCGAACCCATTGAGACCAAAATGAAAGACCTAGGACAAAAATTGAGGTGACTAGAGTGAAAATAGTGAAAACATTTTATCGCGTTTGCGCACTCCTGGGTAACTCGTTTGCACTTTCTCTGTTTGCTGCAGGTAATTAGCTGGGCTTTTGGAGTTTATATGCATTTAGTGCTGTAGAGAATTCTATTGCGAACACAATGATACCAAATTTAATGTCGTAGGACAAGAATTAAGGTGACAAAGTTGAAGAGAGTATACACTTTTCAGAATTTACGCGCACTCCCGTGAAACCCTGGGACCCAAATCACACAGTTGAGGGGTGGGGCGCGGGGTACGCCAAAGTGTTAAAATAAAATATGAAATAATTTAACTGCAGAATATGGGATAAACAAGAGAACTGATGATGGGAAGGAGAAGGATACTGAATTATCTGTGAAGGTCAAACCTAATTCATTAATTCCTGGTGACAGGAAAAGGAAGCCTGTACTTATGCTTAGTGAGGACCTTCCCAAGGTCAACTACTGACCTTCTCCAGGACGGAACTCTCAACAACTGTGTAACTCCCATGTACGGTACATAATTTACTGCTAGGTGAACAGAGGCATCAAGTGAAAGTAAACAAGTGGAACTCTTTCC